AATGGAGTTATCGGTTTTTGCAAATGAACTCCTCATATATAAAAACGATTATTTTAGCTAACTAGCCAAATTATATAGCATAAATGGAGGCAAATGGATGCTTGTATTTTATTTCTTTAGAATAAGGGACAGGGACACTTATTAAGAAAGTCAATTTTGACTTTGAAAAACCTCAGTATTTAAAGAAATCCAGCATGTAATTTTAGAGGAAAAGTGCTTAGTGTGGACACAAAAGCGTTCACCTTGCCATCAAATTTGGAGTACTCGTTGAAGGGGTTGTTGAGCTGCTGAGGACACTGTTCTAGCCGCAGCGAGAGTGTCGATTTACTGCCTGTGCTCCGGGGCCTGTCCTTAAAGTCCTTCTTTTCAAAAAGCGAGCTCAAGTCGTCTGCTACAAAAATCAAGACAGAAGAACATATTCAGAGGACAAGCAATAAAGACCAGAAAATGAATGCAAACTTCTCTTTTGAGCACGGCTACTGTACCTGATTGAGACGAGCTTCTCTCTTTCCACTGGATGTTTTTGCACTTGATCTGGTTCTGTCGTTCTTTCCTCAGTCGCTCCAATCTTTGAGCTTTAAATGAAAAGACTTTCATCTGTTAACATTGTCAGTGGTGTGACCCCATTACACTTCAAAGCGGTCAATGAAAAACATTTCATGCATATTATGACAAATATAAGGGCTGAATTCACCTGGTGAAAAAAATATACAAGGGGTTTTGATACATTTTAAGTGATGATAAATTTTCTATTAAAAATGCAGGTTATTACTAGACTGATTATTTAAATATTCAATCACCTGTCATCTAACAAATCAATGTCAAACTTGATCCACTATTACACTAATCTTGGTTTTCTTCGTCAATAATCAGCCAAAAAAGTGTTTGGATGGATCTCACAAATAAGTGATCAGGTCACACACACAATGTACAGTATATTTTGCATGAAGAAAAAAAAAGTTTTTTTTGTTTTTGTTTTTTTTAATTGTGACATTATTTTCAAAACAATTAAACACATTTCCCCCTCAAAAAAACTCATTCTCATTACTGTAATGTAGAAAAGCTGCTAATCCTGTCTCAATCATTGTTTTTTTTTTTTTATTAAAATCAGCATGAATTCAATGTACTTCAGCAAATACCACCTTGATGTATACTTAAACTTTTGTACTTCACAAATCTAATTTAATATTATATCACTACTTTTCCCCATTACAGTAATGAGAATTTTTTAATGTCATGAAAATGTCACAAAGAAAAAAATTTTAAATGAATGGAATTAAAACACTCTATATTGCGACTATTACGAATATTCCAGAATGTCTACACAGAAGTACAAGACATTTTCCATTTACTTCATGAGGTCTACAGCTGATCTACAT